GTATATATTGTTCTGAATACAAAAGGCCTCAAAACATCAAAATACGAAAATACCGTAAATCAAAAAAGGTTTACTCTTATTTAGTTTGGTTCAAAACCTACAAAATCTTCATTCCTTTCACTGTAATTTATTTTTTTATTATTTAGGGAGCATTATAAATAGTTATGTTTTTAAAAGAAAAAAAACTACTATTGTTATAAATAACACATTCAATTGAACTGAACTATGCATGCCTATTTAACTATATTTACACATGGCTTGTGTATATCGTATATATATATACACATATATATTATTCATACATTCGGTGTATAGGACGCAAGCAGATTTTGACATCAAATTTTAGGGTAAAAAAAGTGCGTCTTATACACAGAAAAATACGGTAGTTAGAGATCTAGACATTACAACAAAGGGAAATACTAGTATGAAATGTTCTGGGAAAAAATGGATGCTAATTTCAGACATTTCCTGTGTTTTTAATTGTGAAAATATATTGTTAATATATCTGAGTTTGCTCATGTAAATTTTTAAAGAAATTTGTTTACATTCAGCACTGAAATGGCATTGTGACATATGCGTAGATGCTACTGACGGTGCATGCTTTACATCAACTTCACCGAGTAGTGAAGGAATTTCAGAACACTCTTATTGTTAAGAATATTGTATACAGCAGTTGATGGTCTTTTTGTGCTTATGTGAAGTATGCATAATTATGTAATTTTTGCATAACTTAATTTATTTTGATGCTTTATATTTATAGTGAAGATACACTTGTATTGCTAGTTTTTAATAATTGGAGAATTATTGCTGAAAGAACGTGTATTTTGTGGTACAAGTTTTAAGTTAGTTATCCAGACCTGTTTTTGATGCATTGGAAAGTAGATTATCAAAACTGACACAACCATTTAGAATCAAACTATGTAATTACCTTCGGCAGTAATCATGTACCTGTTTACTCTAGCCTGCTACCCAGTAGACATTTCAGGAAGCTCAAAAGTTACGTCTGCGTCACGTAGCAACATACAATGCACACTTGTACTTGATTTCCATATCAGTCTACTTCTTGTTAATTACACTGTTATCAAATATATCATGTCCAGTGTACATCTCCAGTGTTCATGTCCAGTGTACATCTCCAGTGTTCATGTCCAGTGTACATCTCCAGTATTCATTTCAGGATTTGAGTAACATAAGCTCCAGAGTCTTCCTCCTTCGAGAAAGTTTTTAGCATTTGATGCATTTTCTCTTGCAATTCAGTAAAAAAAAGTAATAATAAATTATACAATGAACATTTGGTTGCTTTTATGTATAATTGAGATTATTATTTTGCACTAAAATTTGTTTTTGTTGCCAAATGCACAGAAATACTATTGTTTGCATAAACTTGTCAACCCTGATCTAATAGAGATCAGCAATTAGTGGAATTTGATTAATTGTAGGGATCAGTTACTCTCACGAGAAACTTGGATAGTTGGAATAATCAAAAAACTAATTTTGAATTATAGATTATTTTTTTGAGTCATGGCAATAATAATCTAAAATCAAAATGGCAGTATTTTGATTATGTAAATAGTTGGAATAATCAGAAACTGTAATAACCCAAAACATTAATTTAAATTAGATGATTTTTTTTGTGACATTAATCAATATAATCATAATTTTGATAAATCACTTATTATACATGGCACTAACCAACCAATACTCATAGGTAATCGAGTTAATTGTCCAGCTCTAATTTTAGTTCCTATCAGTTCTAAAAAGTAGTAAAATTTCAGTATAGTATTCAGTATACAACAATATCACGCATACTCATATGAGAAAATATCAACAGACAAGGAAGTTTTTGTATCAAAGAGTTGCAATGTATTGCATTGGCATTTTGTTAAAAATATTGATATTTGAATACTTAAAGTGGCAGGAATTTTGTTTGAAGGAAGAAAGCACAACATGAGAGTTGTGGGTTGTTCCCACCAGGAACAATTGTTCTCCTTCAACCCCATGCATGAATTTGCTTGACTTCAAGGAATTGTTAATTTTGAGTTCAAGGATTAGAGCTAATATGACTTTCTTGTCGGAGAGCCATGGAGGAGGTCGTAGAAAGCACAATGATCTTATCATTTATAGGTTTTCATCTTGTTCTTGTTGATTAGTTTCAATGTAGTCTACTTAATTTATTAGTTGATGTTAATGTTGTTGAAGAGACCAAACCATGTGACCATAGCATCCAGTTTCAATGTAGTCTACTTAATTTATTAGTTTATGTTAATTGTACTTCATGGTTAACAGAAATCCACATTATAATTATTTCAATATCATATATAACTGAAAGAAAAAAAAAACAAGTGAGGTAGAAGGCCCTTTTCAGGTGGTTGGGACCAAAGGATCCAATGCCCTGGAGAGTGAATGATTGATATTTTATTACTTGCATTAATTTTTTATATTGCTTTCATCAAGAAAAACTACAGCTAAAAGGTTGATACCCATTTTGTTTTTTCTATCAATTTCAAATGTGTGTCATGACATACAGCTGAAGGTAATTCAGGATGTAGTTTTTTTATGATGTACAATTTAGTGCTAATGCCAGAGAATTTTGTGAAAGATAAGCACTGTGAGCCATAAGTTATCACATTATAACATTGTTCAGAAAAGCTGGTAATATAAATAGCACCTAGACCACTACTATCCCAGCTGGCCTGATGAGCCTGGTATTGGGTGAAATAATCTCATTGTTAC